CCATCTCGGCATGTCCCCTTGACACAGATCGTGCCCCACAGGATGATCCGCATGCGGCTTCAATGGGCGCGCGCTCGCCTTGGGCCCCGAGGCACAGGTTCGCATACACAGCCACGCAAAGGAAACAAAGACAGGCTTGAGCCACACTTCGCGCTGCAAGACTTGAGCCTGCAGAGAACGAGTTCGTGGAACGAGTCGTCATCCTCACCTATATCGTGACCTCCTGCCTCAAGCCTCCACCACCTCGCACTGGGGAGGGGGGGTCAGAGCAGAAAGGCAGGACCCCCAAAAGACAGGGCCAGCTCAGAGGAAGAGGTACTACCTGAGCTTGTCCGTGCCCTCGCTCATGCGCTTGCCCACGCCGCCACTGGAGAACAAACGTCGTCGGGACGGGCCTGCACATCAGAATTGGCTTGGATAGCCTCGAGGTCACGAAGACGCTGGGCTGGGGAAAGCAAGGAGGAAAAGGAAGAGGAGGTGGAGAAGGATGAGGAGGATAAGGAAGGAGGAGGGGCAGAAGGAGGAAGGGAGGGAGAAAAGGGGGGAGAATCCCGTCGACCCCGCAGGGCAACTGACAAGATTTCGACCCTCCCAGGAAAGCCCAAAATCACACTGAACCGCCTGCCTTCCCATCCCCTTCGCCTCCTCCCTCCTCCTCCTCCTCCTCCTCCTCCTCCTCCTCCTCAATCCTCTGCTTCCCTGGTACAATCCGTGCTTGCAATCGCACGGAACGTTCCGGTCCAACTGATCCAATCCGATATCGATCTTGACCAGCTCGATCCGATTGGATTCCGATATTCCGACGATCCGATGCGGCACGGTGTTTGCATGGCGTTGTTGTGCATCAGCGCAGCCGGTCCGATGCGACTTTGATTTCGTGCCGATGCAGCCAGACTCGACGCGCATTCCGATTCGACCCGATTTCCCGATTCGAGACTGACTGATCTTGAATCGCAACGTGGATTGACTGGAATAGTTGCCTTGACTTCTGCACCACGTCCAGTATGCTCCTGGTCAATCCCCTTAGGGGAACGAAGAATGGCATAAACATAAAAACTCGGAGGTCCGCGCGGATTTCTTGGATCCGCGCTGGACCCCCTTGGCGGCGCCTCCGGCGCTCCGCGCACCAGGGAGGGGGGCCCAGCGCTGATCCGAGAAATCCGCGCGGACCTCCAAGTTTTCATGTTTATCTCAATCTTCGTTCCCCCAAATCCTCTGGTCGGAGAAGGGGCGCTTTCCTATGGCAAGTCCAAATCTCGGAGGAGGGCCAGTGGAGGCCATGGCGGCGGTCCCGCGCGGCCCGGACCGGCACAGAGTCTCCAGGGGACCGTCTTGCCCCGTCGTTCGAGGCAGACCCAGCTATGGTGGCACGAAGCCTCCAAGAGGCCCAAGCAGAACGAAAATCGCTGGAGAGGGCCGTCGTTGTCTCGATTGGCCTTCCTCATCCCTTCCACTCTCCACCTCCACCTCCTCCTCCTCCTCCTCCTCCACCTCCTCATCCTCCTCCTCCTCCTTCCAGAGGAGAGGGGGGAAGAGAGTCCACGAGCCACGAGCGACGCGCCGATCCCGTAACAGGAGAGCGGAATGGTTGCCATGGCGGCGCCCCGCTACGGCTCGCGCCCAGGCGCCTGGCCGTATCCGCTAGGGGCCGTCGCCGTCTTCGTCTTCGTATCTTGTTGATTCGCCTATTCTCGGAGGAGAACTGTACCAGTACCGCTGCTCGTCCTGGAGAGCCCTCGTCGCCACGGCTGGATTATCTTCCACATTCTGGCCAAAACGCACCCCAGAGAGGTCAGGAGAGCATGTAGCGGTATCGGAATATGTCTGCCCAAGTCTCGCCGCTTGCAGGCCCGCTCAAGCTAATCACTCAGCAGAAACACTTGCGGGAGCCCACAACTTGGAGGACTGCTATCCCGCGATCGCGACTCCGCACGAGCTCCATGCAGGTCCACTGACACCCACTCAGTTGAAAGATATACTGGAGTTGGGTGGCCTGAGCATGAAGGTTTTTTTGACCATGGATGCTGGATATGCTTTCAAGTCTCTGGCAAGCAAAGACCTGAAGAAGCCGAGTGAGTGCACTCTTTTGGGGCACATCAGTTGGATGCGACAGATGATGGAGCGAGGAATCGCTCATAGCATTCGGTGGTGTGACACTCGCGACATGACCGCGGACGGCCACGCAAAGGGAGCATTGACAGAGATATGCTCCTACAGGTCACGGGAGGCACGCCATCCTTCAAGCATGGCTTAAACGTCATACTCCTCCTCGGGCTGGCCAGACAGCTTTGTCCGAGGCCGCCTGAGGAGCAATCGCACGCACAGCAATGCGATCGCAAGGCAACTTGCTTGCGGGCCCACTTTCCTTACGGGCCCGCCTTTTGCTGCCTATTATGTACATAGCGTTTCTTGTATAGGGGCGTCGGACTCGCGCTTCGTCTCCCTTCCCCCCCGATTCTAGAGTGAGCTGGGACAAGGGCGAGGGAGAGCGAGCGTTTGTCCGCGGCCGTTTGTGTTCAAGCGGCTGGCGGCCAACATATGATTACGCTTCATTGCGAGGCATGCTACTTGCCATCGAGACCGAAAACATCATTCGCTTGAGATGGCCCGTCGCTCCCGCGATGATCTCCTCCGACCGGGACTATCGCTACTACGATACAACATAGCTGGAGCTGCGCTTCGCCGAAGGCGAAGCTCCTGGACGGGCCTGCCAGCCCCATTCAAACTTCTGGGGCCTTCTTGAAGAGGTGGCTTCCAGCGGTTCGGCGGCAGCGCGCGCTGGGGTCTTGTCGCGGGGCCGTCTCGAGGCCCTTTTGGGCCCCATTGGGAGCCTCCCGGGCCGTCTTGACGCCCTCTGAAGGGCCGCCCTTGACTCCCTTAAAAATAGACCGAAAAGGCGACGGTGCGAAATCCAGAAAAACGTAAGTAAGTCGACGACTGTGGTTCCGTGGGATGCCCCCAGGGCTTACAACACGGCCCAAGCGACACCCCAAGGCAGTTCCGGAAAAAAACATAGAGTTTAAAGACAGAGGATGTAGCTGCAAGCCGCGCTCCCCAAGCCTACAGAAAATTCATTCGCCAAACTCCCGGAGCGCCCAGCGGAGCCCGAGAGTCCTGGGAACCCGAGGCCTGGGGCTCGTCAAGAGCATTCATTTACCAAATTCAAGATTGTGAATTTGAACGGACTTGCTGAGAACACTCCACTCCGTGCATCGCGGCACGGTGGCGCGTTGGGGGGGTATGTAATATGAGGTGAGGTGTGCGGGACCTTGCGTCCTGTCGCTCACCTGTGCTGCCAAGTCCGAGCCTGTCTTGGGAGCGACGGGCCAGGCGACACCATGTTCGCGACTGGTCCGTAGAAATTCGCAGATGCTGTGTCGTCCGTGACGTGTCTTGCCTGTCGCGAGCAGAGACCCCCACATCGCCACCCTCGTTTTAGCGTCCGTTGCGCTGCAGGCCAGACAACACTTGGGACGGTGCCCCACGACAGTGTCCCATCTCGGCCCAAAATTGGTTTGCAGCCACCGCCACGAGCAACGGAACGCACTCCCAGCAGTTCCCTTGTGTGCATTACTGAAGCCTGGATGCAGGAGCAGCCAAGGGCGAATGACATCTATAGTTGCTCGACGCTGCGAGATTATCTTGGTTTCGCACATGCTGGCCACTGACCCAAGATGTAGTTGAGCCGTTTCCAAGCGTCTTGGCAGCTCTGGACAGCCTTCCTCCTGACGCTTGCTCATCGAAGTCGAAGGACATCCTCCTCCCCCTCCTCGGGAGCGCGGCTTCGATGGGAAGGTGCCCGAGGATGAAGAAGAAGAAGAAGAAGAAGAGGAAAGGAGAAGAAGGAGCGGAGAGGTAGAAAAGAGGGAACTCAAAGATCCGATGTCTTGTACGGGGTCTTTGGAAGTCGCGACCCCCTCCCAAGGGCTGGGTTATCATCCCGAGCCGTTTCTTCACGAAGCCCGACGGAGGCCGAAAACGACGACCAATTTCTTCCGTTGTTTATTCAATACGGTGGATGACTGGGAGGCAGGAAGTGAAACGGAAAGGAAAAGGAGGAGGAGGAAGACGAGCAGGCGGAGGACCAGGAGGACAGAAGAGGAGGAGGAGGAGGAAGAAGAAAGAGGACGAGGAGGAGGAGGAGGAGGAGGAGGCGGGGAGGGAGGAGGAGGAGGAGGAGGAGGAGGAGGAGGAAGAGGAGGAGGAGGAGGGGGAGGAGGGAGAGAGGGAGGAGGAGGAGGAGGAGGGAGGAGGAGGAGGAGGAAAGAGGAGAGAGGAGGAGGAGAGGAGGAGGAGGAGAGCAGCAGCAGCAGCAGAAGAGGAGGAGGAGAGAGGAGAGGAGGAGGAAGACGAGGACCGAGGACGAGGACGAGGACGAGGACGAGGACGAGGACGAGGACGAGGACGAGAGAGGAGGAGGAGGAGGAGGAGGACGAGGAGGAGGAGGGGAGGAGGAGGAGGAGGAGGAGGAGGAGGAGGAGGAGGAGGAGGAGGAGGAGGAGGAGGAGGAGGAGGAGGAGGAGGAGAGGAGGGGAGAAGAAGAAGAGAAGAAGAGGAGGAGGAGGAGGAGGAGGAGGAGGAAAGAGGAGGAGGGAGGAGGAGGAGGAGGAGGAGGGAGGAGGAGGAGGAGGAGGAGGAGGAGGAGAGGGGAGAGGAGGAGGAGGAGGAGGAGGAGGAGGAGGAGGCGGAGTAGAACAGGAGGAGGAGGAGGAGGAGGAGGAGGAGGAGGAGGACGAGGACGAGGACGAGGAGGAGGAGGAGAAGAGGAGGAGGAGGAGGAGGAGAAGGAGAAGAATGAGGAGGAGGAGGTGGAGGAGGAGGAGGAGGAGGAGGAGGAGGAGGAGAGGAGGAGGAGGAAGGACAAGAGGCAGGAAAGGGAGGAGGTGGAGGGAGGATCGGCCAGGCCGTCTGCCCCCGCTGCCTGCGGAGCCCCCTTGCGCGAGACGGCCAAAGCTATAATAAAAGCGGCCTGCAGGCGACTTCGAGGTGCGCTCTGTGAGGACGCGGCGCGGGGCCGGCCTTTAGTGGGCCTTCAGCGGGGTTGGCCTTCAATCGGCCTTTTGTTTACCAGTGCCAGTCCCAGACATCGGGCGTTTCGACAAAGTCGGCAGTAGCAGCAACAGCAGCAACAACAAGAGCAGCAACAAGAAGAACAACATCAACAACATCGAATACAAGTATTTTAAGATTGATCGCTCTTTTCTGCTCGCGTGCCATTCAACACGTATATATCACACCCTCGATACCCGCCTTCGTTTTCGATCGTACCCTACTCGGGGGCATATCTCTCTTACCTGCAACGTGTATTTCGTGCAGCCACTCAGGCAGGGGAATAAAAAATGGATGGAAGGAAGGGACAAGATTTTTTGGATTGCGCTCTGATTCGCCGAGGAGATGGTCAGCTTAGTGCGGAACTCACTAGTTGCTGGCAGAAACACGCGGTATCTAGCAGCACGGGCGCCAAGGTGTAAATGCTCCCCCCGACCAAACCCAAACCTAACCCGTACCACCCCCATATCGTCGGAAGGCGCTCAAGACGCATCGCAACGCAACAGGAGTAGGAAAAAGGCAAGAGGAGGTTGATCAAAGAGGGGAGCAGGTGAGATAGCGCTTCCTCCACCACAGGCGTTGCGGCGCCCTGCATCTCGACGTCATTGGGGGCAGCTGGCAGCGGAAAGAGGGTCTCGAGCTGCTGAAGCCAGACCTGTGCACGAGTCAGTTCAGGGGCACGATGCTGCTGGCCCAGCCGGCGAGGCTCGTGCTCAATCATGGCCTCGTGCGCCGCCTTCTCTGCACGATCGGAGCGGCGTTGGGCTCGCTCGACGAATGCCCGCTACCTCGCCAGGCGCACCTCCGGGGTCCTGGCCACGATGATCATTGTCATCAGGACTGAGTATTCCTGCTCCTGCGCCTCAAGGATGCTGGTCGGCGGGCCGAGCTCGCGGGACGCGCGAAGCATCTTTGCCGATGCCACTGCCATGTGGCGGAGGTTGCGCCTGCGGTTGGCCAAAGCGGCAGGATCCGTCGGTGGCTGCACCCAGGCTGGGCGCGCACGCGCCTGCTCTGGCATCGCAGGGAGCACACCGAGGGCCTCCTGCGGGCCTGCTGGACGATCCGCCGTTTCCTCGGTCGACTCAGGCTCACTGTCGTCAAACTTGACGTCAGTGGCTGGCGAGCGCCGGCGGGATGACTGGCGACGGGAGGGCTGGTTCCTCCGCAGGCTCGCCATCTCGCTGCTGGGGGTGGGCCGGCGGCGGAGGACGGCTAGGGCTGCGCTGACGACTGGGGCGAGCGCTGCTGTGCACTGGCCTTGAAGTACGCCTCCGCCGCCGCTGGTCACGTCCACGTCCTCCGTGCTAATCTCGCCCGCTGCCCGCTGCTGCGTGCTGCTGCTGCTGATGTTGCTGCTGCGTGCTGCTGCGGTCCGCTGCCTGCATGCTGCTGCTGGCGCTGCGGCTGATCGCGGAACGCGCTGAACGCCGCTGGACTCTGCTGTGGGAGCGGGTAGCAGGTGCTGCACATCAGGTCGCAGACGGCATTTGCGCGCCCGCATGCTGGACACCACCGCGGCGGAGGTGGCGGGGACGGTGGCGACAGCTGACCGCCCTTTCCTCCGCGCCGCCTTTGCCCTTGGCCTGCCACGCCATGGCGCCGCGGTGAGTTGCGAGACACTTCGCGGCGCTCACCAGCCGCAGCAGCAGACATGCCCGTGCACGCTGTTGTCGAGCCCGCCTGTGCCACGCCGGCTCGCTGCCCTGCTGTCGCGGCGCGGGCCGCACGCCCGAGGCGCGCACTGCGGCGCGGCGGGGCCCACGCGCCCGAGGGGCGCACAGCGCCGCAGCGGCGGCGCGGCGGGGCCCGCGCGCCCGAGGCGCGGGCGCGGGCCGGCGCGCGCGGCTGCCCGCCCCGAGAGAGGTTCGCTGCAACTGGCACAGCACCCGAAACCCCTCGAACCGGGGCGGCAGCTGAAGGGACAAGAGGGAGGAAGGAGGATGAAGCACGAGAGAGAGCAGAAGGAGGGGACCTAAGAGCAGAAAATACGTGGCAGAACCAGACGGGCTGATCGGGCGGGTAGACCCTACCGGGCGGATCGGGAAGGCGGGCCCAGGCGGCCAGGTCGAGCAGGCGGGTTGTTGAAGTGTGCGCCTTGCATGAATCGCGAGGAAGTCTCGAGCCATAGCGCGATTCCCAAATTATTCGCAAGAAATCCACAACGAGAGCGCGAATCCTGAGTGTCGAGGGCGCGGCGTTTGATCAAATTGCGAGGAAGTCCCACGCGAGAGCGCGATTCCAGTAGAACTTGTGACGAAGTCCTGCGCGAGAGCGCGATTTTCAAATAAGACGCGAGGAAGTATTAGGCGGGAGCCGCTGTTGTTGTAAACTGGGGGCAAGGGGCTTAATGTGCTGACATGTCATTTTCCCGTGTACAAACAGGGTGCGACCCCCGGGAGAGCATTTGGATTGAAAATACAATGGTTACCGCGCAGGGGGGGGTCAACAAAAATGATTGTTTGAATGAGAGTCAACCGCAAAACCAATAACAACAATAACCACAATAACAACAACAATCACAACAGCGACCACAACATCAACATCAACATCAACAGCAGCAGCAACAACAACAATCATGTCAATACTTTTCGCTCACACTCGCTTGCCACTCAACACGTATACTTCAAACCCTCGATACCCACCCTCTTCGTCTTCGATCGTACCTCTTTAAGGGAATCGCTGTCTTACCTGCTACATGTATTTCGCGCAGCCCCTCAGGCAGGGGAAAAGAGGACGGATGGAAGGAAGGGACAAGGGGGAGAGAGGAGGATGGAGTGCGACAGAGAGTAGCGGGAGCGGAGCCAGGAGCAGAAAACACGTGGCAGAACCAGACTGGCTGATCGGGCGGGTAGACCCTACCGGGCGGATCGGGAAGGCGGGCCCAGGCGGCCAGGTCGAGCAGGCGGGTTGCTGAAGCGTGCGTCCTGCATAAATCGCGAGGAAGTCGCGAGCGATAGCGCGATTCCCATATAAATCGTCTGAAATCCAAAGCGAGCGCGTGACTCCTGAGTGTCGACGGCCCGACGTTGAACTGAATAACGAGGAACTCTACGCCAGAGCGCGATGCCTGCATACATGGAATGAGTCCTGCGCGAGAGCGCGATATGGGAATAATTTGTGAGGACGTATCAGGCGGGAGCCGCTGTTGTCGTAAACCGGGGGCCAGGGGCTTCTTTGAGTGACGCTGCACGTATTGTCGGAAAAGGGAGTAAAACACACACAAAAACAAACAAACAACAAAAAACAAACAAACAAATAATAATAATAAAAGATCTTTTTTGTAATAATAATAGTAATAATAATAACAATAATAACAACAACAACAACAACATAATATATATATATATATATATACATATTGTAACCACAAAAACTGTGCCTGCTCCGGGAGAAACGTTGAATTTGAAAATAGAATTACCGGAAGGGGCATCAACAACAAATATTCGTTGGGAATTAAAATTCAACACCATCTCTGCAACTACTCATATTATTATTTATACGAGTCGTACTACTACTACTACTACTACTACTACTACTACTACTACTACTACTACTACTACTACTACTACTACTACTACTACTACTACTACTACTACTACTACTACTACTACTACTACTACTACTACTACTACTACTACTACTACTACTACTACTACTACTACTACTACTACTACTACTACTACTACTACTACTACTACTACTACTACTACTACTACTACTACTACTACGACGACGACGACGACGACGACGACGACGACGACGACTACTACTACTACTATTTTTATCTCCACTACGACTACCACGTTCTACTACTATTACTACTACTACTACTACTACTACTACTACTACTACTACTACTACTACTACTACTACTACGACTACTACTACTACTAGAACTATTACCACTACGATTGCTACTAGTACTATTACGATGACGACTACGACTACGATTGACGACGACTACTACTACTATTACGACTACTACTACTACTACTACTACTCTACTACTTTTACTACTACACTACTACTACTACTACTACTACTACTACTACTACTACTACTACTACTACTACTACTACTACTACTACTACTACTACTACTACTATTACTACTACTACGACGGACGACGACGACGACGAACGACGACGACTACTACTACTACTACGACTACTACTACTACTACTACTACTACTACTACTACTACTACTACTACTACTACTACTACTACTACTATTACTACTACTACTACTGCTACTGCTGCTGCTGTTGCTGCTGCTGCTGCTGCTGCTGCTGCTACTATTACTCCTACTCCTACTACTACTGGCGGTCTCGTGCACCACATCACCACGGCGCAGCCACCTAGGGAAGAGCGTCCATGTGGCTGCCTCACTGCCAGTATGTAGCGCGCACCTCTTCTGGGTGAAAGGGCGGGTCTGACATGCTTGCAGCGTCAGGCGCCTGTCCTGTGGGCAGCTGGTCCAACGGCCCAAAGTGAAGCGCCAGCAACGGTACAGCAGCACACGGGGCGACCCCAGTACCGCCACCCAGGCCAACTAGCGCGAGAAGACGCGAGACGAGGCCAGGATGGCAAGCCAAGGGCGGGTCTGACGTGCATGCAGCAGCAGGCGCCTGGCCGAGGGCAGCTGGTCCCTACAGCAAAAAGTAAGGCGCTGGCGGCGGCATAGCAGCACACGGGGCGACCCCAGTACCGCCATCAAGGCCTACTAGCGCTAGAAGGCGCGAGAGGAGGCCAGGATGGCAGGCCAAAATGGCCAGGCGCCCGACGGCGACGCAGCAGTACACGGGGCTGCCCCAGCACCGCCAGCGAGGCCAACGAGCGCAAGTGAACGTGAGGAGGCCGAGATGGCAAGCCAGTTGGCGAGCCAAAGTGGCTCGGCGCGCAGGTGGCCATGCGCCGAGCAGAGGCTAAAGCCACAGGTGCAGCCAC